GGTGGGGGCAGGGTGGGGGGTGGGGCAGAGTGTTGATCAGCTCTCTAACTCGTGACAACATGCCAGCCTCCAGGCAGAAAACAGCCTGAGCCGGGGTTTTAGAGAAGCTGAGCTCATGATTCGAACATGCGTCGAAATTACTCACAACCCAGTTCCTGAGGAGGAGGACGTGCTGCATGTCCACAGGGATCACTTGTGCCGTAATTAACAGTAATTAATTAATTACATTTTGAAGAAAACAGTTTGATGTATCCTGTCGAAACCTAAATTAACGACATATGCAAATATAAAAGACAAAGTCTTTATCCAGGAGGAAAACAGGCGGCGTGAGCGGCGTGTGTTTAATTCTATGAGTTTTTGAATGATTCAATCTGCATTTATTCTGACGGGTCAGAACTGTGGAGCATTGCTTTTATTTTTTGGAATATGAAAAGATGTTTATGCTGCTTCTGCATTCTTGGACTTTCTCTGTTGTTTGAAGATGCATACGCAGTACTCTGGTTCATGTCAATATAACTGTGCAGACATTCATTCATTCATTCATTCATTCGCCACTGCATCATCTCCAGACACTTTTCTGACAGTGACTAAAAGGTGCTTTTCTCTTCATCACGTTAACAGGCCTTGATGCACAGACAGCAGCCCCTTTAAACCAAGTAACAGTACAGACGTCAAACACTGTTCGTCTGAGTCTCTGTCTGTTTCCATCTCGTCAAACTGTCTCATTAACAGCAGCTGAATCAGCTGTGATCAGCTCCTGTCTGCAGCGACTCACTGTTTCTCTGTGACACTGAAGAAAACTCAGAAACATGAGTTTTCTGAATAAAGTCCTGCAGCAAATTGTTTTTCCTCTGATTTCTACAGATTTACAGAAATGACCTGGTGATGGACGTCAGAGATGGTGATATCCTCTGCAAGCGTCAGTCACACTGAATCTAAAAATATGTGTTTCAAGCTGAAGTATTGGTTGGGTATTGATCATGTCCTCAGTGAGGCAGAGACCCGGAGTTTTATTTTGGCAGTGAAGCTGAAACTCAGCTCAGACGTCCCTCCGTCTGTCCTGCATCAGTCTCCTCGTGTCTTCAGATCTGACTCAAACGACAAAAACTCAGGAAATATCACAACAGCCTGCTGCAGCTACAGAATAAAAGGAACATGCCGTGTAAATACACAGAACAATGGCAGATCATTTACACAGAACTGATGATCTGACACTTTCACCCCGTCAACACACGAGCCTCCAAGTGAGCTGACTGATTATTACCGCTTCTCTGCTGTGTGTTTACTAGCAACTACAGTACCCATGAGCCTCGGCTGTCAACTCCACGCTTTGCAAACACTTGGGACCAACTGACTGCCAAGTTACACATGAGTCACAGTAGGTTTCCACACCAAACACCACATGAGAGCGGAGGACTTCAGGACTTCCTTGACTCCCAGTTTAAATCTGCAGACTGTTGGAGCGGGAGTGTAACGAGCACAATAAAACTCCACAAGTGAAAATTCAGTAATGACACTGTAATCTGAAACTGGCTGCAACTACAGCTCACACACGTCAGTTCTGTCTGTGCGCAGGTGGACGGAAACACCCCAAATCTGTATTAGTGGTAAACATAACAATAATAATAATAATAACATAATAATAATGTTTCTTTCAGCTTACCAAGGTTAAATAATGTCAAGACCTTTAAGGGACACTCACCAAACTCCAGTGAAAAAGTTTGCATTTTAAGACCTTGTTATTTTTCCAGGCTTAACACACTGTTAAGAAAGATTTTGGACACTTAATATATTTGCTAAAGGCACCACCTCCACATCGGCGTGAATCTGAGCCACTGACCAGTTAATCTTTGAATTACACCTCGAGGGTTTTCCTGTTGCATCCATTGCCGCCTTCTGCCAGAACGCACCGAGAAGGGGCGCAGCGATCAACTGAGGAAGCAGGTCAACAATTTGTACTTTTCCACATGCAGTTTAGCATTGGTGGGTTTTAATGTCAGCCGAATTCACCGGGAGACTGGACGGGTTTGTTTGATATCTCAGATCGTGCTCTGCCACCTCTGTATCCTTGTCCAGGAGCGAAATAACCTTAAATATGCTGATTTGTAGTTGACATCTGGTATAAGATGTAGGAGGTGATCACTGATCTAACACCTGACACAAGTGGGTTTTACAGCTCATGATGGTGATCACACAAATATGTTCAATAGACTCAGATTAGAGACATTTTCTATTTACTAAAGGCAGATTCTTCACTTCGGCACTGAACAGCCCATCCTTGAATCATATTTAGAGTTAAATGCAACTGGAGGGAACCAGATCTAAAACTGAACTTTTCCTAAATGAAGATTGGCTTTGGTGGATTCTTATTGAAGCCGTATTTACCATAAAACTCGACGGGTAATTTTGAAATTTATAATCATATTCTGCCACTTTTCCATCCTTGTTTAGAAGCACGAGAGCCTTGAGCAGTCTGACTCTGACATGAGGTCTGGTATGAAGTTCAACTAAAGGTGTGTGAAGTGATCTAACACCTGATATAAAAAAAAAGAAAAAGGTGTAACTCCCTCTCCTCCCACATGACCTCACAGCGAGTACTGGTGATTATACAAGCGGGGTTTTACAGCTTTAAAGCGGACCTCGCTGGCACCAGAACCCCGGTGGAGGTGGTGGTGGAGGTGGTGGTTAGTACCTGATGAAGGTGGTTTTCCCGGTGGAGTACTGGCCGACGAGCAGCACCATGGGCTTGCTCTGGAAGTCGGCGGCCTCCAGCGCCGGGGAGTGGAAGTCATGGAAGAGGTATGTCTCCTCCAGCGGCAGCAGCTTCTTGGTGTAGAGGCTCTGCAGTCCCTCCGTCACCGTCTGGTACATCTCCCCTTCCTTGTTGCGTCCACCTTGCTCCTGCTTCACCCAGCTGAACATGCTGACGGCCCGGCTTTTAATCCGCACTGACTGACGCGCTCGACTCCAACTTCCCTGTTTCGATGTTTCCAAATGCTCCGATTGCTTTCGGCTCCTTTTCGGCTCAGTTCGTCCTTCAGGCTGAGCGGAGGAAAGTGTCCGCGCGTGTGTGTGTGTTTATGTGTGTGTGTCGGTGTGTGTGTATGTGTGTGTGTGTGTGTGTATGTTTGGTCCCTGGGAGTCTCCGATGTTGTGAACACACTGCCTCCTCTGTCTGTGTTTGTGGTGTGACCGCTGCTGGTGGACCTACCTGGGGGCACCGCCCTTCCCCCTGTGACGCAGCATAAACACACACACACACACACACACACACACACACACACACACACACACACACACACACACACACACACACACACACACACGTATTTGTATATTCTTAGATCATTTTCTGTGATCTGCAGCTGGACTGTGGACTAAGGGCTCTGATTTATATATTATATTATTTTATTTTATTATAATATAGTAAGATTTTATAATTTCGTAAATTCTGAATGAAGTTCTAAACATGAAATATTTATTGCTAATTTTTTAAAAACTGCACAAAAGAAGCTTGTAGAGCGGATAATATATATAGTATATCATAAATTATGTATATTATATATAATATATTTATTTTAATGATAGAATAGGTTGTTTCACAAAATAGTGTAAACTCAAGCTTTCATCAGCAAAATAAAAAAATTAAATTAAACAATTTAAAAAGTTAATCTGACGATCCTAAAGATTCACTTACTAGCTTTTTCCAACAGCAACATATCAGGAACAGGTATGAGCACGTGACAAAACAAAATAATAATGAAAACATATGTACAGACAGACAGACAGACAGACAGACAGACAGACAGACAGACAGACAGACAGATAGATAGATAGATAGATAGATAGATAGATAGATAGATAGATAGATAGATAGATAGATAGATAGATAGATAGATAGATAGATAGATAGATAGGAAATCTCTGTTTCTCTTCCCAGTGTTTGCTTCTTAAATCAGTGAGTGGCTGCAGGTCATTCTCTCCTCCTGTAGCGCCCCCTGCAGGATGAACCCGGACACTTCACTGAAGTGCCTCACTATGTTACAGGTTACACTTTGAAGGGAACTGTATTAACAACCCCCACTGAAATAACATCTGGTATCTGGTAATGTCTCCTCTGTCAGGATACAGACCTGCTTGATGAATGTTGCCAAAGAGAAACCATAAAACTGTGTATCTTTGTCATGAGAGCTTTAAATAATCAAAATTTCAAATGAAGTCTGACGTGATATTTCCTGCAAACTTGCTACAAAACACCTGATGAAGGTGAGTTTCCCTGCAGCACTCTGCTGTTCACAATGACAAGGGTCGGGGGGGATTTAAGAGACAGACGAGCCAACAGTGTGAGGTTTAAAGGTCTAAAGTTCAACAAGATATTCTCCCTTATCTCCACGTGACACAGATTCAACATTTATAAAGTGTCCAGAGTGTCAGGCTGTAAATGTTAACTGCCCTTTTGGCTGGAAGGTCCAGCTGTGGACTGTCGTCACTTTCTATATGAACTATAGTGTATTTGTATTTGTGCAACTATCACAGAAGCAGGAGACGTTTAAACATGAAGCAGAAAAGCAGAATGTGAAACCAAGTCAAGACAATATTTTATTATGTTGATGAGAAACAGGAATCAATGTACATTCAGCATTTATCATGAACTGACATGTTTACACTGAAATCAGCTGTTTTTCTTTTGTTAAATGCAGTTATTGATTATTGGATCTCCATCAGTTTGCTGGTCGTCATGGCTACACACAAAGTCACAATAATAAACTCAATGATGTAAAATGACTCAGTATCAATAAAAACAAAGCAAATATAAAGAAAAGGAGTGAAATCATTTTTCACACATGAAAAGGTCGACGACAGAAAGAAGAAGCAAATAGTGAAACTACAGAAGAAGAAAAAGGAAATAAAAATAAAGGAAGCTTTGGAATAATGAGACAGCAGGAGGACAGGTGCAGTTTGAGAGGTTAAATTCACTGACTTTTCCCTTTAAGAAATAAACAACATTATAAATATAATCATCCTCTTTATCTCTAACTGCTCTGTCCCACTGTCACAGAGACCTTCAGTGGTAACACCTTCACTTCATCCTCAGTGTAAATGAATGGAAACACCTTGTGAGTGAAAGTGTGTGTGAAGGTGTGTATGTGTGTGTCAGTATCAGGATCAGAGAACGACAGTTTTCCTCTGTTCCAGTCCAGATTCACTCTGATCCTCTGGAGCTTCTTCTTCTTCACTGAGAGATCAATGACTGGAGCTGATGGTGACTCTGCTGAGTATTTACCTTCATCAAACCATATTACCCATAATCCAGACCATATGTCTCTCTTCCTCTGGACAGACTCCTCTAACACTCCCAGTCTCCAGAATGTATTGTCTCCAACCTCGACGTCCCAGCTGTGAGTCCCTGAGTTAAAACCCTCAGAGCCCAGGACAGACCAGGAGTAAGAACTAATCCTCTCTGGATTGTCAGGAAGCTTCTGTCTCTCTCCTCGTCTCACTCTGGTCAGATCTTCAGACAGGATGAGTTCTGGACCAGCAGTGTTTGGGTCCAGAACCACAGGACTGTAGGAGACCACGTCCTTCATCTTGTTCCAGATGTTGAAGGTCAGGTTGCCCAGGTGTTTGGCCTGGTCTATCAGAGCTCCTGAGCCCAGCTGGTGATCCTCCAGCAGGGGGCGCTGCTGGACTCTGTCCACTGCAGCCTTGTAGCTGAGCAGGAATGAGACGTCTTCAGCTCTCAGCTCGTCCTCTGTGGCTCTGACTGTGTCTGAAAGAGCTGCTATCTCTCTGCTCAGAGCCTCCATCTTCTCCTTCATCACCTGACTCTTCTGCTCCTCTTCCTCCCTCAGTGCAGCCATCCTGGCCTCCTCTTCCTCTTCTAGAAACTGGTGAAGCTTCTTAAACTGCTCCTTGATCTGCGTCTCTGTGTGTCGGGCCTGGACCTTAATGTGTTCTGCTGTTTGATCAAACTTCACTTTAACTTCATTAAGACCCTTTAACTTCTCCTTTAAGGGCTCCAGAGTTTCCTGAAGCTTCTTCTTGTGTTGTGGAGCAGCTTCATCGATGGGTCTGAATCTGTGGTCGGTGTGTTTTTCTGAATCTCTACAGACGAGACACACTGGCTGCTGATGGTCCAGACAGAAGAGTTTGAGTTTCTCAGAGTGCAGACTGCAGAGAGCCTCTGAAGATCCATGATCTCTCTCCTGTAAGAAGGCCTCACACAGGTTCTTCAACACCAGGTTACAAGGTGGTTTAGACTTTGAAGATCTTCTGTTACAAGCTGGACACAGTCGACCTGGTTTCTCTCTCCACCAGCTCTGCAGACAGTCTTTACAGAAGCTGTGGCTGCAGGACAGAACAACAGGATCTCTAAAGACCTCATGACAGACCAGACAGCAGAGATCCTCCTCTGGTCTGAAAGCCATTTAGTCTCTGAGAGAAGCTGAAAACACAGCAGACAGGAAGTACAGTCAGTCATGGCTCCCTCCCCCCTCTGCTAACTTCACTGAGGTTTACTTTCACTCTGAGTCCAGGTGTTTGTCAAACTCACCTTCAGTGTGTGGAGTGTCAGCAGGTGGAAGCAGCAGTGTTGTAGCTGGACTCTCTCAGAGGAAGTTGTTAGTTTGGTCTGAAGGTGAATCTGATCGTCTGTTCTTCAGTCTGTGTCTCTTTACTAACGAAGAACAAACTGTTTCCTGGTTTGTCAGGATGTTGCAGCAGTTCTGTTTTAATTCAGATGCAGCTGTAGGATGAACGTAATGGATCACAGTGTGCAAACTATACCATGGCGATCAGGGGAGCTCACTTTTTATCTGGGGTTAGCTTATTTTTATGCATGATCCATGTTGATGATAAAAAATAAAAAAAAGTAGAAAACTTTAAATTTACTTCACTTCTTACAGCTTTTCTACATTTCAGAGGGAAATATTGTTGCCTTCATTTACATACAAAAACTACTGTATAATGGGCTAAGAATAATCTTCAGGGCTATAAAATAACAGAACTGCAATATAATTTGGTTATAGTGATTATTAAATTATAATGAATTCTGTAATTATATTTTAGCGTTCCTATGGTTGATTTCACAACTGACGGTAATTTATTTTTTTACTCTCTCCTTATTTCTTCTGATTTGGTTAACAGGCCTTATACCAAAATAATGTACATTAAATCTTGTATCTTAATCTATATATTTTAATATAAATGAGCTTTACATCAACCAGCTAGAAAAGCAAAATTATACACATTAATGCATCAGAAATAATCATTCTACAATGTACAGTTTATCACTCACAAGGGTCAGTGAAAGTACTTTTACTTTTCTGAATTGATACTTATACTATATAATAATTACTAATTTAAGACTTTTACTTTGTTATGTTGGTATTTTTATTTCAGTGAAACGGATCTGAATCGGTGGTTTTCTTTATGTTTAAAGTTAAAGATAAACATAAGAAAAAGTGAAGCGAGTCTGGTCCGGTGCGAGGTGTAATACGAATTGTCTCCATCAGGGGGCGCGGCAGCGGCGAACCAGAGGCCTAGCGGAGTTAAAAGTGCGACGAAGAAGAAGCAGCGGAAGCGGAAATGGAGGCTCTTTTGTTTTGAAAGAGGGAAATTTAAAAAGTCGACGGCGTAGTCCGAAGTAAACACAAACAAGCGGAAACAAAACCATCAAAAAAAACCAAGAAAACAAGAAAATGGCCGCAAATTGACACGTTCAACCGGAATCTGAAGTAGGTTCACGACATTTTTCTAACAAACACTTTGTCGGTGTTTAAGTCTGTTGAAGTTAAATTTAACTGATAATTTCCTCGAAACGTTTAAACTTCAGAGAGTTTCCCCTGAGCTAGCTTCTCGTTTATCACAGTTTGTTTCTCATATTTATCCGCAACGTTAATGTACATGTCGTTGTATTGATTCTCAACAGCTTATAACCAGCTCATTCATTTAACACGCTCCGGTTCTTGTGTAAAGTGTCGGTGCTGACACCTCTGCTCCCTCCGTGTTGTTCAGCGAAGTGTTTTCATTGTAATTTTAGCCTCTGAACCCTGACGTTAAATTTCAGGAAGCTTCTGTTTGTTAACACAAGAAGCAATTTAGATTAATAACCTATCTTAATTTTCACTCTGTAATGAACCTTTTATATGTTTTCTTAAATTTAAAAAATCTCTGCAATCGATGACCAGAGTCCATACATGTAAGCTATTTTAACGTGATAAAATATGAGTATGATGTACAGAATTATGTTGTTTATAATGTTACATTTTATTACAGAATAGGGCTGAACAATTAATGGAAATATTATCGAAATTGGCGATATGACCAAGTGCAATATAG